AGTACAAGCTAGGACACATAGCTAACACACAGGCCAACATAGTTGGGATCCAATATTATCTCAACTGACTGGTCAGGACAAATATAAAAAGATGAATCCTAAAAGAAAAAAAAATATAAAGGGTAACATCATAGAAAATTAATTAGTAAACAGAAAAGGTCTTTCTTAACAATAGGGGGAAATTCTTTATTTTGTTAATTGATTTTTTTTTAAATCATATTCTTTTCCAAATACATCCTTACAACCCTCCCTTATCTAGTGCGCTTCCTTTGTAACAAAAAATTAAAAAAAAAAACAGTACAGTAAAAAATACCAACATGAGCCACATGTGACAATATATGTAATATGTCTCACCCACAGTCCTTCACCTCTGCAATAAAAGGAAGGAAGTGCATTTTCTCTTCTCTTGGGCCAGGCTTGGTCATTATAAATATGATTCATTCAGTTGTGTTTTATTGTTCTTTCTGTTTATGTTGTTGTTTATCAGTGTGTATGGTATTTTCCTCATTCTACATAGTTCATCATACATCATTGTATATGTCTTCCCATGTTCCTAAGTAGCTAGGAGGTGCAGTGGATAGAGTACTGGGCCTGGAATCAGGAAGACCAGAGTTCAAATCTGGCCTTAGACACTTATTCTTTGGGTGATCCTGGACGAGTCACTTAACCTCTATCTGCCTCAATTTCCTCAGCTGTAAACTGGGGATCTTAATAGCACCTACCTTGAAGGGTGCTTGTTTTCAACTCCATGGAACAAGATGCCCCTTCCAGGATAAGCTCATCACACCTAAACTTACCGTCATGCTGTTAACTCAAGTCTTAATTGATACCACTACGCTCAGCCTCCTCTCTTCTCTGATTGGAGGACTGTCTTTTGCCTTTCTTTATAACCCCAGCACTTAGCACAGTACCTGGTGCCTAGTTGATTGTTGTCCTTTGTTCTAGAAGAGGACCGAAATGATACACCACATTGGATACAATACAAGGCACAGTGTGTCCAGCTATGGCTGATCAGACCAATACAAGCTCAGAATGGTCTGCCACAGGTTGGGTACAAATAGTCCATATGAACATTTGGGGTGGAGATGTCTCTAAATTTTTGCATCTCACGTTTCTTCTGAGCTACTGCAATGCTGATTCACTCATAGAGTATAGTGTCGTCTTTGATGTAGGCACACTGCACTAGGCAGTCCTTTGCCAGCGTCTCCTATATCATGCAATCAAAGTCCGCCATTACTACAGCATTTTTTGGTAACAAAACAGTGGAAACAAAGGGGATTCCCATCAACTGAAGAATGACAAAGCCAACTGTGGTATACTAATCAACTAATATTTATTAAGTACTTACTATGTAAAAGATTCTATGCTTGGTGATGTGGATACAAACACAGAAGCCCCTTACATCCCTCTAGGGAAGAGGTTCTTAACTTTTTTTGTGTCACAAACTCCTTTGGCAATTTGATAAAGACTATGGGCCCCTTCTCAGAATAATGTTTTTAAATATATATGTGACAGTTCCAATATCTACGAAGGTTTTCCTGTCCACACCAAACTCCCCCAACATGGGTTAAGTTACAAAAGGAAACAGTGCTGAGACTTGATTTGCTTGGGGATGGAGTAAGATTTAAGCTACATATGGCTTGTCACTTCCTGTTAGCCTCTGGCTGAATTGATAGGAGCTTCCTGGTTACTCAAGGGCATAAAAAGACCCACCCACATGAGATCAGGACCCTTCAGACTTGGGTGTATATCAGAAGACCATTTGAGTAACCACACTCTCCTTTGATATCCAGACCTGTTTCCATATGGAGGCAAGGGGTGGGGGTGGGGGGGCTGGAGGTTGGGAGGGGAAAATTCATCTACCCTAAGAGTTATTGTATATTTGTTGAATATCCTTTCTGGGTTAGGGCTAAGTAAACCTTTGGTTAATGGTTCAAAGGTCTCATTTTGTCCTAATTTTTAATCTGAACTAATATGATACTGGCCTGCCTATCCCTAACAGGGTAAAATAAAATACATAGGATTAAAGAGGAAACCAACCATAGTGAAAAACAATTATCAATTTTTTTTAAACAAGTTCACAGATCCCAGTGGTAACAGTGTTATCATCAGCTGCTATCATCCTCAATATGGCAGCCTAGAAGTATCCAAAGTCAACTTGAGTTCACCTACTGGCTATTATCAAATATAACTCCAACACCAACCACCACTCACCAAAGACCTTTCACAGTGATCAAAAAGCCTGAACCTCAAGAGCAGAGGCCAAAAAGGAAAAGCAGCAGCTAATCCCTTTCACAAAGTTCTGTTCTAGGACAATCCAGTGATTCTGGCCTACTTGCTGTTCCTCAAACATGATGACACCCCATCTCCTGACCTCTTGCATTTTCACTGGCTGTCCCAAGTGCTCGGAATGTTCTCCCTCTTCATTTCTGCCTCATCTAGTCTCAGCTAAAATTCTGCCTTCCACAAGAAGTCTTTCTTGCCCCACCCCTTGCCATTAGTGCTTGTCCTCTGAGATTACCTCCAGTTTATTCTTTATATGTCTTCTTTGTACATATGTTGTTTGTCTCTCCAAATTAGATTGTAAACTTCTTGAGGACAGGGACTGTCTCTGTCTGTCTTTGTATTCCTAGAGCTCAGCATAGTGCCTTGCACAAGTTGCTCATTCTCATCAGAGTTTTCTTGGGGTTTTCTTGGCAAAGACACTGGACTGGTTTGCCATTTCCTTCTTTGCACACATTAAGTACTCAACAAATGCTTGTTGATTTGGCTCAGTTAGACTCCCTCTATTCTCTGGCATGGCTTCAGGCCCTAAAGCTCTGTTTAGACAGTGCAGTTTCCCTGTCCTTTCTTTGTCCTAGATAATATCAAGGTATGTTCGCTTCTTGTGGTATCTCAAAAATTCTATTCTATTTCTCCTTCTGAGGATATTTCCAGATGTCTCAGGTCCTCAGAGAAATAAAACAATGATACAGGAAGGTCACTTTTCATAGTGGAATTTCAGGCACCGTGGCAGGCTAGTGAGGGACATATTTTGAGGGTAGGTACTCATATTGGAAATGGAACAGACCATGAAACTCCAGACCAATTCAGAATATCAGGATGTCTGGAAAATCTGTGAGAATGAGGAGAGGGGAGAGAAGCAGCTGTGACCCTTGAAAACTGTCTGGCACCAGGGTATTTGCCTAACTTTGTATGTGGAGCTCTCCTCCCTATAAATGAAGAATCTGCAGTGGCTCCTGAGTATGAAGGAGAGGTGGGACTGTGAGGAGGAAACTTAGCCTCAGAGGTATTTGAATGAGTGTGTGGCATGGTAAAAGGAGGAAAGTTGATAACTGAAGTCAGAAGATCCAGGTTTGTGAGATAGGAGGAAGTCACACCATAGCCTGCTGGCGGGTTTCCCTACCACAAATCTCCCACCACTGCAATCCATCCTCCATTCAGCCATCATCATGATCTTCCTAAATCAAAGACCTAACTATATCATCCCCTACTCAATAAATTCTAGTGGCTGCTTATCACACCTTCCGGATCAAATATAAAAGCATCTATCTGGCATTCAAAGCTCTTCACAGCCTCTCTACCTTTGCAGTCTTCTTACACCTTACACTGTTATACCCCTCACCTCACTTATACTTGGATCCAGCAACACTGTGCTTCCTGACTCTTTCTCACACAAGACACTCCATCCTCTGACTCCAAGCATTTTCACTGGTTGTGCCCCAGTCTTGGAATGCTCTCTCTCCTCATCTCTGACTTCTGGCTTCCCTGGTTTCCTTCAAGTTCACTGAAATATGACCTTCTACAAAAGCCTTTCCCAATCTTTTTTAACTCTATTGCCTTCTTTCTGTTCCAATTTATTCTATATATAGCTTGTCTGTACATAGTTGTTTGGATATTCTATCCCTCATTAGACTATGAGCTTCCTGAGAGCAGGAACTGGTTTTTTTTGTTTTGTTTTGTTTTTTGTTTTTGCTTTTCTTTGTATCCTCAGGTAACCTTAGCAGAGTGCCTGGCACAAAGTAGGTGCTTAATAAACGTTTAATGAATGAATGAATCTTGGCTTTGCTACTAACCTAGGTGACCTTGGGTAAATTATCTATCCTCTCTGGTCCTCAATTTCCTTATCTGTAAAATGAGGAGGTCGCATTAAATCAGAAGTTCTTAACTTGGAGTCTGTCCTTTCAGTGACATGTTGCGTTGATGTCCTCCAGCAACACACTTCATCTCCTGACTCCACGAATTTTCTCTGGTTGTCCTCCGTGCCTGGAATACTTTCTCTCCTTAGCTCTGCTTCCTGGCTTCCCCGGCCTCCTTCAAGTCTCGCTAAAATCTCACCTTCTACTGGAAGCCTTTCCTGGTCTCCCCTAATTTTGCTGCTTTCTTCTGAGATTAAATCCCCGGTTTATCCTGTCTATATCTGGTTTGTACAAAGTTGTTTGTACAAGAAAAAGCTGTTTGCATGCGGTCTCCACCCCAGACTGGGAGCTTCTGGAGAGCAGAGGCTGTTTCTTTGCATTCCCAGCTTAGCACCGTGCCAGGCACATAGTAGGCCCTTTAATGTTCACTGATAGACTGAACTTCTTTTTCATAACTGCATTTCAACCTCATTGGTTTCCTTCGGAATCCTTTATATTTTATTTGATGCTTTTAAAAACATCACTGAGAAAGAGTTCATAGGCTTCATTAGACTGAGGTTCACGGGGCAATGAAGGTTAAGAAGCCCCGGCTGTGGCTCGCCCAGGGCACGCGGAGGTCACTCGGGAGCGCTGGGACAGCGCCCGGTGCCTGTCGGGGTGCTCGGGGCACTGGCGGACTTCAGCCTAGGGCCAGCGGAGGCGCTAGAACAAATACATCCCGGGTAAGACGACTCGCGCCCTCCTCTCCGGCCGACTTGGTGGTGGCTGAGGTGCGCAGGCGCAGTCTGGAGAGTACAACACCACCCCATCCCGCCCCCCCTGCCCCCGCCCCTCGGGTGGCGCAGGCGCAGTCTGCAGGCGGGAATGGCTGAAGTGGTGAGCTTTACAGTGCCTGCCGGCTCTGACAAGACGCTGTTTGTGTGGGAGCTGAGCCCCGGGCCTGGGGCCGAGGCCCTGCATGTGAGCTAGGCTTGGGGCCGCGGGGAGGGAGGGAAGGCGGAATGAATGCAGATGGCTGTCAGATAGCTCCCACATCCGGGCCCCTTCGTCCCCTGCCTCAGTTTCCCTCTCTCCCCGGACCCTCGCCTCGTTTCCCACCTCTGCTGCCGATCGTAGAGTGTCGGAGCTGGAAGGGACGATAGAGACCAGTCTCATTTTACAGCTGTGGAAAAAGACTCAGAGAGGGAAGGGGCTTGGCCATGTACCGCAGAGGCAGCACTCGAACCCCAGCCCTTGGGCTCTTTCCGCTGCCTCACTGCTGTCCCTACTCAAAGACACGAAGGGACATTTGTTTTTTAAATCGCTGCCCTCTCTTGAACTCAAGGCAGTCAGTCCGTCAGTAAGCGTTTATTAAGTGGCTTATTAAGTTTATTATGTGCCAGGCACAGTGCAAAGGCTGGGAATACAGATGCAAGCACTTGCAAAGCCCTGGTGGAAAGAGCATTGGCTTGGGAGTCAGAAGCCCCGGGTTGGGATGCTGCCTCCCATCCTTACTGCCTGTGTGACCTTGGAAGTGGGGGAAGGGAAAGGAATAGGCGTTTATATAGCCCTTACTATGTGCCATAGGCTGTGCTAAGTGCTTTACAATCATTTCAGTTGATCCTCACAAAAATCCTGGGAAGCAGGTATTATCTCCATTTTACAGTTGAGGAAACTGAGACAAACAAGTTAAGTGACTTACTCAAGGAGAGTCATGTAGCTAAGAGTTGTCTGAAGCTGAATTTGAACTCAGGTCTTCCAGACTCCAGACCCAACACTCCCTCCATTGCACCCCCTAGCTGCCTAGCTTGGCAAAATCATTTAAACCCCCTGGGCCTCAGTTTCTTCATTTGTAAAATTAGGGGGAAGGGAGTTGGAGTCTATTTCCTTTGGGGGCCCTTCTGGCTCTGGGGTTATGAGCCCATATGTCCAAAGACAAAAAACAGTCCCTCACCTTAAGGGCTGTGACCTCACTTTGCTCTGGAGAAGAATATACCAGAACAGATAAGTAAATTAACCACTTGAGGGGAAGAGCAATAATCACTACAGGGAATAAGGGAAGGCTTCCCATAGAAGGTGGCACCTGAGCCAGGCCTTGAAGGAAGCTAAAGATTCTGAGGGAGTGTATTCCAGGTTTTGGGAGGGTGGGAGTTGGGGAGAGTAGGGAAGGTGGAGGGTTTTCAGAGTCTAAAGACTGAATGTAAATTTGGGGGTGTTGGTTGCATGAGTAACAGCTTTTGGAAGGAGCACATTTGAGGGTTTCTGGGCTAAACATTTCATAATTTTCCCGTGGGCCTCTCCCACAGCACTCTTTGTTCACAGTGTTCTCTCAGTTTGGCCTTCTCTATTCAGTCCGTGTCTTTCCAAATGCTCCTGAGGTCACTCCTGGATTCTATGCCATCATCAAGTTCTATTCAGCAAGAGATGCCTACAGAGCTCAAAAGGCATGTGATCAGAAACAACTGTTTCAGGAATCTCCTGTGAAAGTGAGTATGCCTACCTCCACTGTAAGAAGTTCTAACCCAAACTATCTAAAATAAAAAATGGGAATGATAGCAAACTTCATCTTTATTTTACAGATGAGGAAACTGAGGCTTAGAGGTTAAAGTAAGTAGTAGATATGGGATCCCAGTAATCTCTTTAGTATGTCAACACTGAGGATTCAAGGGTTTATCCTATATGTTATATAGAAAGCAGAAAGCAAACATAAGAGCCCCCAAAAACAATGGTCTGCTTACATTTTACTACTAGGTGAACACAAGAGAATCTAGCCATCTCCTATAGATAGGCACAATATTAGAAATGCCTTATTTTCTATTAAACTGCCAATCTCCAAAAACATGAATCCTAACTCAAGGAGATGGCCGAAAATCAACCATAATACATATTTTTGAAAGTATATTCCTTATACTTTCATTAATCTGGTATCAGATGAGACCTTTTGCTTGTCTCCACTACTAGGTCTTGTCTTTATGGTTTCTAGCTTCCTTATACACTCGGCCTTTTTCCCACCTGTAACAAGAATGCTTAGATTTTCCACCTTGTTCACCATGTAATCCTCTCTCCAAAAACTCTGTTTATCATATCACAAGTTTCAGACTAAGAAGACCCCTAGAGAACATCTAGTTCAATGCCCTCATTTTTCAGATGAGGAAACAGGCCCAGGGAAATCAGTGACTTTTTCAAAATCACACAGGGAGTAAGTGCCAGAGCTGGGATTTAAACCCAGGTCCTTTGAGTCTAAATCCAGTGTTCTGCTAAGCTATTTTTTCCAACCTTTTCCATAATCCATCTTTCCTTTCTCCATTTTTTTAACCTTTAAAAATAGCAATTTATTGGTTGGCAGATTAACAGATTTGTGGTTTTCTTTTATTTATTCATTTATTTATTTTTTAGGCAATTGGGGTTAAGTGACTTGTCCAGGGTCACACAGCTAGTAAGTATCAAGTGTTTGGTCTGAGGATTTGAACTCATGTCCTGACTTCAGGGCAGGTGCTCTATCCACTGCACTAGCTGCCCCTGTGGTTTTCTTTTTAACCCAGAAACTCCCTTATGAGTTCAGATTGGAAACTATTCTGCAATTTATAGTCTTGTAGAGATGCCTGGGGCCATTCAGGTTAAGTGACTTCCCCAAATTCATATAGTCAGAATAGAAATCATGTCCTCCTGACTCCACGGCCAGCTTTGTAGCCACTAGGCAACAGTGCCTTAACTTAGCTTGTTAAGCCGCTATCATTAAAACGCACAAAGCATAACCTTGCAGTTTTTTGTTAGATTAAAGGCAGACATTCGCCAGTAGGCAACTGTGAATGTAAATATTTGAAAGGTTTCTCTATGCCATCTGGCCAAGAACCATTGTCTTCAAATATTGCCTCATTCTGGAAGTCATTGGCATACATTTGAACTAAACTATCTCTCAAACTGAGCCATATTTAAAATACTAGTCTATATTTAAAGGGAGTTTTCAAAGGAACTATGATTTCATGGGTGTGAGTACACCCTCCAGCTATGCAGATGGCTCCCCATCCTTGCTTTCTCATCCTGTTGAGTCTTGTGTTTCTTTCCATAAATCTTCTACAGAGTTTGCACTTAATGTCCTAGAGGCCTTCCTCTAGTTCTTTTACTATCCAATCAATGGCACTGGAGCTGATCATTTAAACTAAAAGTAATTTTTAAATTACTGGAAAAAATAGGAAATGAAATGAGGCATGGCTGTAAAAAATTATTCTGAGGACCTCATTGACAAGTGACTCTCTTGGTTCACTGTCTCCAGCCCTATCTCTAGCCTTCTGTTTTCTCCATCACCACTACCTGTCACCAGCTGAGGATGTCACCTGACATTTCTTCAAGACAAGAACAGCTCTTATTTGGTATGTCTTAATAATTAAATCATCTTCCCTAAAATTCACATCAAGAAATGAAGGAGCTATCTAATTAATCCTTTTAAGGAAGTATTTGCCTCTTAATAGAGGGACTTGTTAGCTCTTATGAATTTCTGTTGACAAAATATATGGTAAATTCTTTAGACATTCCCCCAAAAGAACAGAGTTCATTTAACAACTTGGCACCCCTCCTGAAAGTTTGCCAATCCTTGCTATGCTTCACTGTGTTCATTTCATCTGTATTCTGTTCCTGTGAAACCATAGGCAAGGTGCTTCACTTCTTTGGATATCAGTTTCCTCATCCTATAAAATGAGAGGATTTAACTAGATGGTCTCTTCCAACTTTGAATTCCATCATCGTAGTTTAATCGTTTTTAAAAAAAAATTATATTTTCATGAAAAAATAATTGCCTATGTTATGGATTTATAGCCCTTTTTTCTCTGAATTTTCCCCACTCAAGAAAATATTCCAGTTTGTAAATCTGTAAAATGGAGGTAAAGATACATTGCCCAACTCAGGATTGTTTTGAGGAAAGCAGCCCCTGTATAAATGACTTAAGCCCCCAGAGTACATCTTTGCCTTCATTCTGCATGGCTTCTGGATAAGAAGTCAGAAGTAGTTCCTATCCATTGTAGAACCTGGTACTCATTGTACAGAGCAAGCATTCTAGCATAGTAGATCTCCAGAAAGGCGTTGCTGTCACATCTTTGTTAAGTACTGATGTTTGTAATCCACTTTCTTGTTTCACCAGGTCCGTCTTTGCACTAGACGCAAGATGCATCAGTATCCCGCCTATCCACTCAGCAGCTTCAAATGCCAGGAGCTGGCCAATTACTACTTAGGTTTCAATGGATGGTCAAAACGAATCATCATGGTAAACTCTGTAGATTTTTGTTTGACAGGTCAAGGTCTCCCTTCAGTTCCTAGTTAGGCTACATACTGAACTAGAATGGGGTTAGAGATCAGGCTGCCTGGTCATTTGAAAGAGGAAAATATGTACCAGATCATATGCCTGAATCTTTCATCGAAAGACTGTAGATTGTTCAGAGAAAATCTTTGGAGATTACCTCTTTTTTATGGCTTTCTATCTCGTTTGCACTGTGAGTTGAGGTGATTATCCTTGCCAGTATTTCTTTTGAAAACTATAGTTTGAATTCAGATGCATTGTGCCATGGGCCTTAGCTGAGATTGTTGGCCTTAAGACAAAAAAATTTGTGATTACCAACAACTACTTTAAAGTCTACATTAAGATCCTGTATCTCAGAATTTGAAAATTCTATAGTTGCAGGAGCTTTCTGACTTCAAAGTAAAGCAAAACACAAGCCCCACCAAGTCGTCGGCAAGACAAAGTCTAAAGTACTTCTGTGCTTTAGAAGTGGTGTTTCCAGCCTACGAGTGTCGAAGTCATGGTGCTGGCATTGCAGAAGAATACTTGGAGCAACAAGAAGGTCTGTTTCCAAACTTCATGCCATTGGTGGAAGAAGGTCGACCACAAAGGCAGAAACCTGGGTTCAGTAAGGGGGAGTTTTAGAGATGTAGACTTAGTCTTGATAAAATGAAAAATTTACTACCAAGCTGCCTCAGAAGATAGTAGGTTCCCCCTCTGCAAATCTTCAAGAAGAGGCCAGTGACCACTTACTGGAAGTGTTGTTGAGGGAATTCCTGTTCATGCACAGATTGGACTAGATTACCTTTCAGGTCCTTTCTAATGATGACATGTGATTCTGTGAACTAACTTGTCCCAGACATGGTGTTGTGACTACTTCTTGCAAAGGACCTCTGGAGTATTACTGGTCATTTCCTGCCCTTGGGATAATCAAACAGAGCTTTCTCTTGCTCTCTTCTTTCTCTCTTATCCCTTAAAAAAAATCTCAAATGAGCTGGCCCTACCTAAGGCCCTAATGAAGGAGGTAATATTTGCCTTGAGGCTTCTGAAGTGCACTTTAACAGCATACAGTGGAAAGAGGACTGGTTTGGGAATCAGAGGACCCTGGGTCCAGGTTCTACCTCTGTCACTTATTAGCTGTGTGACATTAGGCAAGTCTTTTAGCCTTCTGGAGCCTCAGTTTCCTCTCTGTAAAGTGGAGGTGGACTCAATGGCCTCTAGGTTCCTTTCCAGCTTTAAATTTATGAATTTTGTATGTAGATTTATAGCTGTCTTTATTGACTCAGCAAAAATTAGTTAGATTTATAAAAATCTAGACAGACTTTTTTTTCATTAATTTTGCTAACTTTGAGCAGAAATTGAAAGGAAACATAATGAAATAAGTGTAGTTATGGAGGACTGCTTTATTTAGTGCCTGAATTATACTACAGTACAATGTTGTCTTTACTGCCCTGAAATTTAGGGCTTAAGTTAAGGTCAAGATGTATGGTTGAGCTGAGGGTCATACCCAAGAAATAGGAGCCAGCCTTGACTATCGGTGTGCCACCAACAATTCTTTTCTGATCCCCAGTTCCAGCCCTTGACAAAAGGGCTTTGGAGTCTTCTAGGTTGGAATTTTAATGCCACAGCTTGAAAGGTTTAGGGGCAATTTGGAACTACATTCCTATTTTCTATCTCTTTTTCAGTAACCCTAGCAACGTCCATATAACATGTGGAGAGTAATAGTATATTTCTGGTTTCCCAGAAATATACACACAGCAGGAAACAAATGAGTCATACTCTTGTACTGTCCTTAATTTTTAAATTTAGTCTTTAAGACTAAATATATTGTAAGATAGTTTTATTTTGGTAATATTTAACTCTGTGTTTGAGCATAAATATTTTACTGTCATTCACTTAGAAATTTGTAATTTAATATGATTTTTGTATGTCTTTAGGTCCATTAGAGTTTCTTATGAAAAAGAAGAAAACTCAGAAGCTGGCCATTCAGAAAGCTTTATCAGATGCATTTCAAAAATTCCTGATGGTGGTTTTAGGTAAGACTTCATCAGCCTTTAAGTACATCAGTTTAAATCAGTGGGCCTAAAGACTAGAGGGAGGAAGTGTGGTATAGTGGAAAGGATGTAGGATTTGGAGTCAGAATCTGGGTTCAAATTCTAGCTCTGCCACTTTCTTACTTAGCTCTTTAACTCTAGGACAAGTCATTTAACCTTTCTATGTCTCAGTTTTTCATGTGTTAAATGAGGTTAGTCTAAGTTAGAGATGTCAGACACATGGGCTGCAACACTCTCTGGTGTGCCCAAACTAGATTAAAATGAAGTTGGAAATTTTTAGCAAAACCAATGAAAATACAACAGAATATAGATAATGTTAATATGTGGTTTTCTGAGTCAATATGCAGGGATTCTTATATATGGTTTAGTGGCCTGCATTTCTTTTCTTTTAACTATGAATAATATTTTTCCCCAATTAATGTAAAAACAATTTTTAACATTCTTTTTTTAAAATTTCTGAATTCCAATTATCTTTCCTCTCTTCTTCCCTCCCTCCTCCCTGACACAGTAAGCAATTTCATATAGATTATGCATGCGCAATCATGCAAAACATATTTCCATATTAGTCATCTTGTGAAAGAAAATACAGACCAAAAAAAAGAAAAACATTAGTGACCTTTATTTCTATTTGAGTTTGAGACCACTGGTCTAGAAAACTTATAAGTTTCTTATTTGTGGTTGGTCAATTGTTTCAATCCTGTCCAACTCTTCGTGACCCCATTTGGGGTTTTCTTGACAAAGATACTGGAGTGGTTTACCATTTCCTTCTCCAGCTCATTTTACAGTTGAGGAAACTGAGGCAAACAGGGTTAAATGATTTGCCCAGGGTCACACAGCTAGTAAGTGTCTAAGATCAGATATGAACTCAGGTCTTCCTGACTCCAGGTCCAATGCTGTATCCACTGTGCCACCGAGCTGCCACCTTCTAGATGGAGAAACTGAAATTCAATCAACACATATTTATTCAGGGTCTGCTTTGTTCCAGACACTATGCTAGGAGCTGGAGATACATAGATTAAATGACAGTTTCTGCCCTCGAAGAGTTTATATTGTATCAGAAAGACACACATGCAGAGAAGTCTATACAAAAATAAATATGAGGTAGTTTTGAGGGGACAGCAATAGCAAACAGGGAGACCAAGAATGACCTTATATAGGAGACATCATTTGAGCTAATCTTTCAGGGAAATTAAGGATTCTGAGAAGTGAGGAAGGGAATGCATTCCAGGCATGGATGACAGTTTCAGCAAAACAGAGTTAGAAAATGGGCAGCTGTGGGTAAGAGCAAGAAGGCCAGCTTGGCTAGACCAAAGAGAGCATGAAGGAGAGTCATATATAATATGCTGGAAAGGTAGATTGGAGCCAGGTTGCAAAACAGAGATCACTTTTGCTGCTTTGTAGAAAGTGGATTGAAGAAGGAAAAATTTGAGGTGGGAAAACCAGTTAAGAAACTATTGCAGTAGTCCAAGTGACAGGTGATTTATTTGAATTCAATTGGGGGGGAAAAGAATAGGGAAATTCAGAAGTGGGATTGGTTTGGGAAGAATGTTGAATTCTGGACGTGTTGGATTTGAAATGCCTATGGAACACAGTACAAATTGTTCAGTAGACAGTTTGTCATGTGGGCCTGGAGCTCAGGAGAGAGGATGGGGCAAGATAAAAAGATCTGGGGATCATCCTCATAGGAATCATTAAACCCTTGGGAACTGTTAGGATCACTGAGAACATAAAGAGAGAAGGGCACCCAGCCCAGAAACCTGGGGCAGTCCCACAGTTGGGGAGCATATTCTCCTTTCTGTCTAGACCTTTTCAGCACAAGGCACTGTGTGTTAGGTACTGGGCATATAAAGACAGAGTGGAAAACAGTCCCTGTCTCAAGAAACTTATATTTTCCACTCCTGGGAGGGTACAATGTATAAACACATAACTATATACATGACAATATGAGGAAGAGGAAGAAAACATTAATAAAAAAGAGGATCTAGAAAGGTTTTCCATGAGAGATGGCACATGATTTGAAATTTGAAGGATGCTAGTGACTGGGAAATGGAAGTAAAGAGGAAAAACAGTGTAAGCTTGAGGAAATGCATAGACACAGTAGTGAGAAATGAGTGGAATTTGGGGAACAATGAGGAAGTTCTTTGAACTAGAATTTACATTCCAGTCCATGAAGTGGAGTTTTATACTCAAAAAAATTGGTGGATGCCAGATTGTGAAGAGCTCTCACTGTTGAGGTATGGAGTTTGTATGTTTTTCTATAGGTAATGGGCATCCAGCTAAGTGTAGTGAGCTTAGGAGTGGCACAGTCAGACTAGTGGATTAAGGGCTTTACATGGCTCCTATGAGAACTAAAGAGGGCTGACCATCATTTTCTCTTCTTTCTTTTCTCAATACAGTGCCATGTACCTTGTAAATTCTAGATATAAAATGTTTTTTGCTCCAAATTTGCCCTGAGCTGGCATGGATAAGTTCTGATCTGAACTGGTAGAGGAAGTAGCAATATAGATGAAATCACAAATTCGCTGAAATGCCTCTGTGTGGCAATAATGATAATAGCTAATATTTATATAGCACTGACTGTTTGCCAGGCATTATACTAAATGCTTTACAGTTATTATCTCATTTGATCCTCACAACAACTCTAGGAGGTAGGCATTATTTTTTTTTCTTACATTTCTTTAGAGAATGTCATGATCTTGTTTTCTTCTATAATTATTATCAAAAGCACATAGGTTCACTTCTTGCTCAAATTGTATCATTGGTTCTGTTTCTTTTTTTTTAATATGTGATATATTTATAAATATATGATATCTTGCTGTAATCATGCTTGTATTGTATTTAAAGTTTTTGTATCAATATTCATTAGGGAAATTGGTCTATAGTTTTCTTTCTCTGTTATCACTTCCTGGTTTAGATATCAGCACCATATTTGTGTTGCAAAAGGAATTTGGTAGGACTCCTTCTTTGCCTATTTTTCCAAATAGTTCCCAAATAGCCCTTTCTTTAGTATTGGAATTAATTTTTCTTTAAAGGTTTGGTAGAATTTCTTTAAATGTTTGGTAGAATTCACTTATGAATCCATCTGGTCCTGAGGATTTTTTTTTTTATTAAGGCAATTGGGGTTAAGTGAGTTACCTAGAGTCACACAGCTAGTAAGTGTCAAGTGTTTGGTCTGAGGCCAGATTTGAACTCAGGTCCTTCTGACTTCAGGGCAGGTGCTCTATCCACTGCGCTCATTAAGGAGGCTCATTGATGGCCTGTTAAATTTCTTTTTCTAAAACAAGGTTATTTAAATATTCTATTTCCTCTTCTATTAATCTGGGCAATTTATATTTTTGTAAATATTCATCTATTTCACTTAGATTGTCAGATTTATTGGCATATAATTGGGCAAAATAGCTCCTAATAATTACTTTGGTTTCCTCTTCATTGGTAGTAAATTCACCCTTTTCATTTGTTTCATTGTCTATGTTACCTTTTAGCAAGATGTCATTTCCTCGCTTATTTCTTTTAATTAGGTCTGTTTTTGCTTTTGCTTTGTCTGAGATCATGATTGCTACCCCTCCTTTTTTTACCTCAGCTGAAGCATAATAGATTCTGCTCCAGCACTTTACCCACTCCATGTGTCTCTCTGCTTCACTTGTGTTTCTTGTAAACAGTATATTGTAGAATTCTGGTTTTTGATCTACTCTGCTATCCACTTCCATTTTATGGGAGAGTTTATCCCATTTACATTTACAGTTATGATTATTAACTGTGTATTTTTTAATTTCATCAGAATAGAAAACTTGTCATTTTAAAACTAGACAAGTCTCTCCACTGATGCAGATATAACTTACAGTCTTAGATGTTTTCTTGGGATACAGGAGGTTAAATGACTTGCTCATAGACACACAGATGGGATGGTGAGACTTGAACCAAGGTCTTCCTCATTCTAATGCTTAGCTCTCCCTCTCTCTCTCTCTTCTCTCTTTCTCTCTTTCTCTTTCTCTCTCTTTCTTCATATTCCATCAGCTTAAAAAAAACCACAACTCTTCTCTTCATTTTTACCTTTTCCTCTTGTTTACTTTCCTTCCTTTGGTGCTCATGTAGTCCTGCCTTTTGCCAGAAGACAGTTCATCCCTAACCACCTTTTTCAATCCTGGTTGTACCTTCCCCAACACATTGAGTCCTAGAGGGGCTGTTGGAATACAACTATTGCCACTCCCAGATGTTCCCCTTCCTGCCATTACTCAACAATCTCTACTTCTTTGAGGTTCACTCTAAATATATCATCTCATCCAAATTCTGGTGGCAGTTATCTCTTTGATCCCAGATCATTCTATCCCCTTTTTCACTGTCTTCCTCCCCACTCCCAACTCCTGCCCTTATACCCAGGGACTTCAGTATATACATGTCAATGTTTCCTCACATCCCCTGGTGTCTTGATTTCTCAGTCTTTTTAACTCCCATGATCAACTCTTTCACTTCACCTCATCTATACACAGGAACGATCACACCCTTGATGACCTTTACTCCCAAGTGTTCCACTTCCATGATCAAGAAGTCTAATGTCATTCAACCATAACAGGTTATCCTTCCATCTCTCCCTATCCTTCAATCCTCCTAATTTCTTCCCTGATTATCTATCATATTCCCCACGTACCTATTCCAAACTTCTTTCTCTTTAGTCCTCCCACACTGCCTTGTCCTGCATCCTCTCAGCAAAAACCCATAATTTACTCGGAAAATAAAAGCTATTCACTGTGAACTCCCTCTTCTCTCCTTTGTACTTCAAAAGCCCTTAGCATCATCCCACATTAGCTCCTTTCCTCTAGCTTCTGAAAAAAGAATCCCTTTTCCTCACCAAGACCAATCCTTCTCTATGTACCCTTTATCTACTTTCATTTGCCATTAGCAGATTGCCCCAACAGTTATCCCTTCTCTCTAATCTTCAACCTCTACTTAGCTACTGGTTCCTTCTCTGCAGCCTACAAACAATCCCAGGGTCTCCCTCATCCTTAAGGAAAAAAAGAGAAAGAGAGCTCACGCTCTCAAGTTTTCTGATATTTCCGGTCGCTTGTCATACCATTGCATTCTGGCGTCTGAGCTTATCACTCAACTGAAGTTGACCTCTCCAAAGTTACCAAAGATCTCTTAACAGCTAAATCTGTTGGCCTTTCCTCAGTCCTCATCCTTCTGACCTCTTGTCATCATTTCATACTTTCTCCTCCTAGTTGTTTTCTTGGAGTTTTTATAACACTGTTCTCTTGATTGTCTACTTGTCTGATCCAGTCCTCAGGCTTTTTTGTTCGTCGTCATCCACAACACGTCTCCTAACTATATTTATACCCTAAGACTGTCATGGGTCTTCTTCTCTTTATATCCTTGGTGACCTCATTGACTTCCACAGCCATGCAGATGTGTCCAGCCTTAGCCTCTCATGACTTACAGTCCTGCATCACCAACTGCCTTTTGGACATTTCAAAATGAATGTCCCACATGCATCTCAAATGAAACATGACTCAGATAGGACTTTTGTCTTTCACCCAAACCTGTCCTCTTATGATTGTTCCTGTTTCGATCTAGACGCCACCACCTTTCCAGCCACCCACCTTGGAATCATCCCACATTCCTCACTGTAACTCACCCCACATATCCGTTCAGGTGCCAAGTCTTAATGATTCTACTTATACAACTCTCAAATCCGTCTCCTTCTTTCCACTCACATAGGCACCACCCTACGTTAAGTGCTCATCACCTCTTGCCTGGACTATTTGCTCTCCCCATCTCAAGTCATTTTTCATACCAATCAGTCCTCCATATATATGCACAAATGATTTTCCTGAACTGTATATTTGTCCGTGTCACTCCCCTGATCTGAATGCCAGTAAACAGCTCCCTGTTACTTGAACGATTAAATACAGACTCCTTTTTGGCATTTAAAGCCCTTCACTACCTGATTTCAACCTAACTTTCCAGGCTATCGTATGTAACTCCTTCTCATACACTCTTGATCCGACCAAACCAGCCTTTGTACTGTTCCATACACACAAACCTCCATCTCCAGGCCTTTGGATGAGTCCAGGCAGGGCAGGGATTCCAGACTCCTTGTCTGGAAAGTGCTTCCTCCTCACTGCTGCCTCTTGTAATTCCTACTTTACTTCAAAACTCAGCCTGACCTCCAGCAATTCCTCTTTCTAAGGCCAAATAGAAAAGTCTGATTCATGTGATAGTTCTTCAAACATTAAATACTGCTCTCATGTCTACCTTGGATAATCTTTTGTCCAAGCCGGAACAGCCTTGACTCCCTCGATTGGTCCTCCTCTGACACGAGCTCAAGGTCTTCCACCCTCCTGATTGCCCTCCTTTGAATGACTGACCACAGATCCAGAGCTCGAAGGGACCTGAGAGGGCACCTAGTCCAACCTTCTTATTTTATAAACGAGATAACTGAGGCCCAATGGATTCGAATTCAGGTCCTTTAACCTTAAATCCAGGATTTTACCCATTGTACCACCCTGCCCCTCCACCTTATCCGCATCTTTTCCTAAAATGTAGTAAAAAGAACTGAGCACGATATTTCAGTATAATAGAAATAAGACGTCCATATGGTCTGGAAGCCTTATTTATCTATGGTTTATTAATCCTTATTTTTCAACATGAAATTTTTACCATTCTCCACCTTTTTTTTAACCACTTTTTACCATTTGCCTGCTTTGCATTGAAGTTACCAAGTGTGGAAGTATATGTTTATGTTGATTTAATTAAGGGGGTCTTACCAAGTTCTTCATAGAATTTCTCTTCTTCCTCATCCTTTACATTAGGTGTTGGTGAATAAATGGCAATTATCTTCACAATGATCCTTTTTTTTTAGGCCTGTCATGAACGTAAAGCAAGAGGACCATACATCCCATGAAGTTGTTTCATGTTTCCTCTTGATACACAATAAAACCAACTCAAAGAAAAATGTGTTTGCTCCAAGTTCTCTCCTTCACAGTCTGTCCCTACTTCTGTCGCCAGGCTAGTTCTTTGTACAACACCTAGCACAGGAGTTTAGACGATGGTGATAAGACTGGATATCCTTTTAAAAGAAAAGCCCTATACTTTTTATTTTTAGAAATTAAAGATGCTTATTGCCCAACTGTTGTGTGTTACACTGAGGAGACTGGGTAAGGAGGAGTAATTTATATTGTCTAGATAACTCTGACTTGAACCCGTTTAACTATGTTTCAGAGAGTGGTAAAGTGGCTGTGGAATACAGACCCACCGAAGGAGATTCTGCAGCAGAAGAATTCAAGGACTTGGTTCAAGTATGTGAAAATTCAGGCTGGTGTGATTCCTGGCTGAATTCCAAATTACTCTTTCATCTGAAGTGGGGAGGTGGGGGCTTGTGGCAGTGGGAGGGGGCCTGCGGCAGGGGGAGGAGGGGAAGGAGGCAGGGCTAGGGGTCCCAGGTTTATAATCCTAGCTTTAGAAGTGCTTTAGAATTCTAGGAAATGTTGTTGCTTGTCCTGTAGCCCACAACCACAGATTGAAGGAGAGCTGATTCCCTAACTGAATCCTTTGAGCCCTCCACACACAGCGTCCCAGGAGACCAGCAGTCAGAGGGGGTTCTCCCCATCCTGAGGATCCCACCTGAAGTTTCTCCAGAAGTTCACTTCAGTTCAGGGTACAGGATAGGGGTAGCTTATAGTGTTCCTACAGTTAGAGGTATAAATGAGGGATCATTTTCTTCCCTGGAAAAGAGTAATACTGTTATCTGAACTATGTCCCATAGATTCTGAACTTCTGGGGATTCATAACAGGCTTGCAGTTACTGGGGAGAAAATCCTTCTGGTCCTGTTTAGACGTGGGTTGTGGGCTGCTTGGTTTGTCAGAGAGGTAACACAAAAGACGTAGGTTCACAAGTTAAAGGAGCTTCCAGGGAGAAAGTTCCCTCTTCCATTACAAGTCAGACCCTTTCTCTAAAATGTATAATGTTAGAAAGTTTCCTGGACCACTGAGAGGTCAAATGCCTCGAGTGTTCAGGTCACACGGCCAGTTTGTATCAGAGACAGGACTTTACCCTCAGTCTTTCTGACTGTAAGGCCAGCTCTCTGTGCATTAGACCATGTTGATGTGTTGCAGCCACACACATACACACACGCACACACACACACACACACACAAAATTTGTTCTTTTTGGGGAACTATTTGGGAGTTTAATTTTATCCTTTTCCAGAGCTGTACCATGTTTTGGAGGGGAGAAGCTGGGTGAGGTGGCTGGGTTTTTTGTTCATTTTTATTTTTCACTTTTTTGATGCTTGAAAAATGTTGCCATGTAGAGTAAATTTGTTTTTAATTCAGCACAAATATGGCCAATCACCAGAACTTTAGACTTCAACAGAGATTGGGGCATGATGAGGATAATTTGCACTGAAATTCTGAGGAAAAAGAGATTTAACATTGACAGTAAATACCATGCTTAATACTAAATATATGGGTTTTAGAATGATACGTAATGAATGATTTTTAAAATGACCATTTCTGGACAGCAGTGCAATAGTGAGGAGTTTCTTATCACAGATGTTTAGGCCAGGGACTGGATAATCAAATTATAAAGATATCAAAGTAGGGATTTCATCTACTAGTCTGAGATGTGACTTTTAAGATCTTTCCAACTCTAGGATTTTAATTATATAAAACAATAACCTGGAAAACCCACACATATTGATTAAAAAAAATAGAAAAGAAAGCTATGCTTTACTGTGCTTATAATAGTGCTGAAATTTTTAGAGGTCCCATCTTAATTTCTTTGCATTACTGGTATATCCTAGTACAGGGGTGGGGAACCTGTGACCTCGAGGCCACAGGTGACCCTCTAGGCCCTCAGGTGAGGCTCTTTGACGGAATCCAAACTTCACAGACCAAAATATTTGACACCCCTGTATCTAGTCTATCATTTAATGACTGAATCCTCTAGGACAACAAAAGCATGAAGTTGATGAATATATAGAAGGTGTGGCAATTTTATAAATATGACATTCTGGTTAATGTATGCATATATATATGTGTGTGTGTGTGTGTGTGTGTGTGTGTGTGTGTGTGTGTGTGTGTATACATATTTATATACACACTTATACCTTTACCCCCTCCCCTAAACCTATACAATATGGTAGTAAGTGCTCTGAACCTTAAGGACCAGAATTCAGGTTCTGACCCTGCCACCTATGTGACAAGTGCTCTAGGCCTCAGTTTTCTCACCTGTAAAACAAAGGGGCAAGACTGGATGGCCTCTTAAGGCCCCATTCAGCTCTGGGTCTATGATCCTATCTGTTTACACTATCTGTTTATCACTCTCTTTTTTCATTAAGGTCAATGATGTTTCTTGGAATCAGTCCTACCAAGGGGAAGAAGAATGTCTCTCTGATTTTAGCCTGGATGAAGACTGATCAAACCGCAGCTAGAGGCAAATTTGCCCTTCCCCGTCCCGTCCCTGCTGGGCACAGCACACCCCCGACACACCGTGGGGTTTCACGAGGCATGGATGGGGACACACTTGCATCCTAGCCCATCCTGTCATCGGGGCAGCAGGATGAAGCTGAGGGGGCGGGAGAGATGGACCGAGGTATAGAACTTGTGCCTGTTTGGGTTTTTTTAGAGAGGTGTGGGAGTGGGGCCAAGGTTGCCGCCCCCCCTTTGAGAGGAGGACTGAAGTTGACCTGTACCTCCACTGAAGTGGGGCGTTTGGGGCGTGGAGACTCCCCTACTGCTCTTACTAGGAATGTGTGACGTTGGGAGTGCCAGGGAGAAGGCTTGACCCTGCGCTTTGTGGCAGCCAGGCAGGCCCCCACCCCCTCCACCCTGCCCTCATTGATTAAATAAAAGATTAAGGATTTCCTCGAAGTTCGGCCGGGGGCGGGGTTTGTGGGGCGGGACGAAGCCGTTGCTGCGCAACGGGGGAGGCTCTCTAACGGTGGTCGGTTGGCGCCCTGGCTAGGAAAAGGCCCGTTGGCCAGGCTGGGCTGCAACAACAGAACCTCCGCATGTCGGGGCGGCCCCTGTGCCGGCTTTGGCTCTTCGCGTTGCCCTTGCTGGCCCTGGCGGCTCGGGCTCCTCTCTCTGCGCCAGGATTATCTGGGGCAGAAAAGGTGACTCCCCTGCTTCGGGAGCGGGGCGGCCGCAGGGCTCAGCCTGGGGTCGTGGCCCGGGCTCTGGCGGTGCTTCCGGATCCAGCCGCTGTGCGGGCTTCGGTTCTGGGCCTGGGCGAAGTGTTCACTAAGACCCCGGTTCTGTCCCGTGCTTTGACCGTGCTTCCGAAAGTGTCTGACATTCTTGCATCTCCCAAGCCTACCCCCACTCCAGATCCAGAGCCAACTCTGATCTACATAGTTAAGACAGCACCTCAAACTCCTGTGGAGACCACTGGAGCGCCCATCCTGCCTTCAGAATTGTTTCAGACACGACTACCAGCGATCTTAGTGCCGGCCTCAGCTTTAATAGCGTCTCAGACTCGGGCTATATCCTCCTTGGTGCCTGCCGCAGCTCCATTAGTACCTCGAACATCACCCTTGGTGCCAGCCCCAGCTCCTACAGCACCTCAAACATCAGCTGCATCCTTGGTGCCAACTCTAACTTCTATGTTGTCTCGAATTCTGTTGTCTTCTCAAATACCTGCTACATCCTTAGAGGGAGCCAAAGCGTCAAAATCGACTCAAGCACTAGCTGCCTCCTTGGTGCCAGCTCAAACTCTAATGTCCTCTCCGATTTCATCCCTTGTACCCACCCAAACCTTAACATCATCACCTGAGTTTCTAGGTGCATCTTTGCTGCCAACTCAGACTTCCCAATCGATTCAGATTCTCCATCCATGCTTAGTACCTATGCAGACTTCAGTGTCATTTCTGCCTCAGGCTACACCCACGAGGCACCCACCGCCAACTCCAACCCTGTTTCCAGTATTGCCTTATAATCTAACCGTGAACATGATGCCCACCCAAGTTTCCAAGCCATCTCAGACTTCAGCTGTACCCGTGATGCACACTGCAATGCCTGCTCAAACTCTGCCATCACTTCCGACTCTAGCTCCAACCCTGAAGCATACTCAAATTCCAACCCCTCTTGTGCAATTACCTCGGACTCTGCCTCTGTCCCTTGTCTCTGGTAAAGCTCCACACCAACTTCTTCAGGCTCTGTTGCCCACCCAAACTCTAGCCCCACCTCCTGTACCTCAGGAACAATATCAATTTCTAACTCCAGGGGAGATACTGCCTTGGACTCTTACTCCACCTCCAGAGTCAACAAAGCTTTATTCTCCATCTCCAGAGCTAAAGCAGGTTCCAGTTTCAGTTCTGTCTTCTAAGTCAATGCAGACTCCAACTATGCTTCTAAACAACACTTTTCCATCGCCTTCAGTCTTAAAGTTTCATACTACAATACCATTATCTTTAGGGTCACAGAAGAACATCTGGGAAATCGATTTTCTCTGCTTGGGCCCCTGCACTTGCAAAGATGAAATGCTCTCCTGTACTGGCCTCAGTCCTGAACTCCGCCTGCACAGTGTGCCAATGCCAGGACCGAAGGCCCGAAACCTCACCTTCTTTTCCCTGTGAGGCCTGTTCTGCCCAATACGACAAACACACTGTAGTTTTCTTAACTCTTCCTACCTGCCCCATCCTCACCCCATTTTCATCACATTCCTCTCATTCACAAAACTTCTTTTCATCCCCACTCTTCTCCTTTTCCCATTTCTTCTATTCCATTGCCTTACCTGTGCTTCTGTTTCTCCTTTAACTTTTTTCATCTCTTTCTTCCTCATGTGGTAAACTTCCATCTTACCCATATTATTTTTCTTACTCCTTTCCACAGGTCTGTTTTTCTCTCTCACAATTTACTTCAAACTCTACTCATTTATTGTATCCAGACTTCATTTTTGTACCTGCTTGGCTCAACAATTATATTACCCTGTGTCTCCTATCATTCACAATTACTTACTGATTTATTATGCACTAAGTATGGTGAGGGATACAGACAAATATAAGACAGGGTGGGGAAGGAGAAACCTACAGGAATAGTTGGGAAAATACAACATACATAAAAGTTAAATAATACAATCCAGACAAGTCAGTAAGCATTTATTAAGTGCACACTATTGCCAGACGTTGCTAAGCCCTTGACAAATATCTCATTTGATCCTCTCAACAACCCTGTGAAATAAGTGCTATTATTCCCATTTTACGGTTGAGGATACTGAGGCAAATGGATGACACCCAAGATCACACAGCTATTAAGTTTCTGAGGCCAGATTTGAACTCATCTTTCTAACTCTAGGTATAGCACTCTATCCACTATTTTTTATTAAATGCCTACTATGTGTCAGGCATTGTGCTAAATATTGAGGATACAAAGAAAGGCCAAAAAGAGCTCACAATCTAAAGAGGAGATGATATGCAAATGGCTTTGTGCAAACAAGATATACAGGCTAAATTAGAGATAATCAACAAAGGAAAAGCACTGAAATTGAGAGGAATTAGAACTTTTTGCAGGTTGGGGTTTTAGTTGGGACTTGAAGGAAACCAGGAGACAGGAGGGAGATGATTCTAAACACAGAGGAGAGCCAATAAAAATGTCTGGAGTAGGGAGATTTCTTGTGCAAAGTGTTGGGATGGGGGGAAGATGTAGAGGAATAAATGGTATAAGAAGACTGGAAAGATAGGAAGGGGCCAGATTATGAATAGCTTTACTCTCCAGAAGACTTTTATTTGATCCTGGAGGGGATAAGGAGCCAATGAAGTTCATTAATAAGGAGATAACATAGTTAACCTGTACTTAAAGATCAATTTGATGGCTGAGTAGAAAGGATGAACCAAAGTATGGAAAGATGAGGCAGGGAATCCAACCAGATGGCTGTTTGCAACACCACACGGTAGGAAATAAATGATATGGAAAATAGGAGGCAATTAATTATCTTTGACTTTTTCCTATCCTCATATTCAAAAAGTTATTAAGTTCTATTTAAATAATTCCTTTAAAAATTTTGGAAGTATATCCTTTTTCATTGCCATTCCCATCTTCTTCCAGGCTCTTAACACTTTATACCTGGATCATTGCAGTAGCATCCTAATTCTGGGTTTTGTGAATGAATGGGCTGGGGATATTATTGAGGAGAGGGGAAATGACCAGGGAAAAATAACAGATTACATGAAGATTTTTCATATTGAATGGAAGAGTGATGGTATCCTTGGCAGAAATAAGGAAGTTAGGGAGACAGTCCATGTCAAGAACAGAAAATTAATCTAGTTTTTATATGTTGAGTTTGAGTGATGTGACATCCAAGTGAAAATGTGCATCATTAGGTAGTTAAGAGATATGGGGCTTTTCAGTGTAGAAACCAGGGACTGAGAGATTTGGGATCAAGGAAATATTTGAAGTGGTGTGAGTACATTTTATGAGGCAGAGTATAGAAAAGAGCACAGTGGGTGAGAAAACTGGATCTGAGGAATTAGTTATCCATTGTTATTGAATAAAAAGAGGGAAAATGAAACAGACACAACTGCTTTCCAAGCACTGGTTTCTGGTACCTCAGTGGCCTACCTGACCTGTTTCTAAAGCATCTTGAGTCAGAAACTGGTCTAAAAGGCTTGGGCCTTTTGAGTCATGGTTATTTATTTATTTATTTATTTTTTTTGATGTATCTTACCCACTCCTTGATTGTGAGCTCTTTGAGAGCCGAAGTTGTATCTTATTTAATTTTTGTATCTTTCCAAGAACCCAGCACAGTGTTCAATATATCATAGGTATTTAATAAATGTATGAAGTTTGAAGCCTCTTGGCATCTCCTCTTATCATTTATGGGGGTTTTCTCATGCTGTATCTTTTTCATTATGTAAGGGATTGTTTAGTTGTCTATCAATCAGTTGCTTTGTAGTTGTTCGTGGAGCAACAATAATTTATTTGGAACATGCTGATTCCCATCTCTCCCCTTCCCCCCACCCCAGTTGCCCCTAGTTTGTATGTAATTCAATGTAATATAGACAAATTCCATTTGGGAAAATGGAAGAGGAAGGGCCTTAACATGGGTATCCTAGAGCCATAGAAATTTGTTTGCATGCAACTTTCCCCATCAGTTCCCACTTTTTTCACCATTCTTTTAATCTCCAGTTGTCCCTAGACCCTACCAAACCAACTAATGTGTATGAAAAGATTCCCCAAAAGGTACTTGTCCAAAATTTTGATATTGCCTGGCATATTGTGATTTCATACATGCTTGATAATACTGATTTGTTAACAAAAATTTATTAAGTACTTATTGTGTACAAAGACACTTGAGATAAAAATAAGTAAGACTTGGTCCCTGCCTTCACAGAAGTTATGATTTAGTCAACAAGTTGTGACATAGAAAGACAACTATGAAATAAAATAGCTATAACTTCATAAGTTAGGTACAAATAATATGCTATGAGGGATCCGGAGAGGGAAAGAAGAAATAGGAAAAGGAACAGGGAGCATTTTTTCTGGAGATGGCTTTACCTCTCTTTGTTACTTAGCCTCTGGATTGTGTTAATTTCTTTTACCAATTTCCTTGTGTTAATTGTGAAGTTGAAAATTAAGAGCTAGAAATTATTATCATGGGTTTTTTAGTTGAAATATTTTTATGAGAATTTCATAACTGTACTCATTTTTATTTAGTGACATGAACTGTATCTTTTCACAGAGATTTCCATGGGAACTCTATTTCTATCATTGAGAAAGGTATCTGGAAGTCATACCCTTGGGCTAAGACTCTGTAAGTACAATTTTATCAGGCAAGCGGGGAGAGCTAACCACATTTTGAAATCAATTTTGATCTGTAGCATTGAGTTTAGGATCTCTGAGAAGCAGAGATTTTCCTTTAGATCCAAATCAGTTTGAATTAATGTCACTTTCTGTTGGAATAATATTGTAAAATCTGTCTCATGGGTTGCATTTAGACTATGAATTCTATGTATACAAATTATGGGAGAAGGAAAAATGGTTGAAACACAATCAGCACTTTTTTTCCTTTTGTTCAAGCTGGTTTATGTGTCATAACAGCAATTTAGCAAATTTAATCAAGAAGGTGGTGATTGGAATGAAAAAAATAAGTCAATACAGTAATTTGATTAAAATAAAAAGTCAACCATTTAAGAAAAGGGAGAATGACTCAACTGTATTTATTTAGCTTCCCTTTGTATTAGATTGATAAGACTGATATTCATGTGGATACTGGAGTATATATATATGTAGATATGTGTATGTGAGGCAGCTAGGTGGCACAGAAGATAGAGTGCTGGGTCTGTAGTCAGGAAGACTCTTCTTCCTGAATTCAAATCTGGCTTCAGATACTAGCTAGTGTGATCCTGGGCAAGTAGCTTCACCCTGTTTGCCTCAGTTTCCTCATCTATAAAATGAGCTGGAGAAGGAAATGGCAAACCACTCCAGTATCTTTGCCAAGAAAACCTCAAATGGGGACATATACATGTAGATATACCTATATCTATATCTATATATAGATACGTGTGTGTGTTTGTGTATATGTATGCATGTATGTATACATATAGTCTAAATGTCCTACAGCAGGAGCCTGTTGAGGATTTCAATATCATCTTGATGTTCACGAAAATATTAGAGAAGAAAATTAGAGAGAAACAAATACACATTACAAATAACATTAAAGAGTGAGGAACCTTCAGGAAAGACTTCATTGAGGAGAGACTACCTGAAATGGGCCTCAAAGAAAGAGAGAGCTATGTTGTAAGTAGTAGGGACAGACCACACAAATGCATATGGAGACAGGAGAGGACAGGAAAAGATCAAGAAACATCATCTAGCAGTCCAGTTCAGCTGAAATAGAATGAGCATGAATAGTATGAAATAAGGGTAGAAGGATCTGTTGGAATCAAATTATGGAGGGCCTTAAATATGACACTGAAGAGTTTATCCTGTACACAGGAACCCCCAAGGCAGTGGTAGCTTCAATCTATGGATTAGGAAGATCATTTTGACAGCTGTGTGAAGGATGGATTAGAGAGGAAAGAGACTGGAGGCAGGGAGATAAGTTAGGGAACTATTACAATAATACAGTCAAGAGGTGATGAAGCCAGTTGGCTTGTTAGTGGAGAAGAGAAGGCTAATGCAAGAGATGTTAAGGAGACAGAATCAAATGTACTTGGCAATTGATTAGATTGTGAGGTAGAAGAAAGAGATTTTGGCCATAGAACCATAAAAGATTTAAAGCTGAAAGAAACCTAAGAAATCCTCCAATTCTGCCTCTCATTTTACAAGTGAGGAAAAGAGCAAAGGCCAGAGAATTGAATGGAGTTGCCTAAGCTCATACAGCTAGTTAATTAGCAGTGCTGGGATTCAAATTAAGGTTTTCAGACTCCAGAGCCAATGCTTTTTCTGCTACACCACCAACTAACAACAGTGAAATGTTAGTTCAGTTCTGATTTAGGGAATATTTACTTCATGTGTTTTTCTTTTAAGCAGTTTTAGAAAGAATGTAGATTTGGTTCTGGCTCAAGCTGGTTTATTTGTTATTATTCAGTCATTTCAGTGGTGTCCAACTCTTCTTGACCCCATTCAGGGTTTTCTTGGCAAAGGTACTGGAGTGGTTTGCCATTTCCTTCTCTGATTCATTTTACAGATGAGGAAACTGAGGCAAACAGTGAAGTGACTTACCCAGTGTCACACAGCTAGTAAGTGTCTGAGGCCAGGTTTGAACTCAGGTCTTCCTAACACCAGGCCTGGTGCTCTATCCACTGTACCACCTATATATTTTTTTCATTTTTATTAATTTTATGGGTTAAAATAGTATTTGAGGCTCAACAGATCAGTGCAGTTCACTCTAGTTTTTATTTATACAATTAGCTTTAGTTCAAATTCTTCCTTTTAGGGTTATTTTATTGTAGCTTCTTATTCCTAGTTTGTCTTTGGTCTTTGTTGAAATTTGAAAACATTATCTAAGTCAGAGGTGTCTTGAGTCTTAAAAGGACTAGAAAAAGTAAGGTCATAATTTCTGCTATTCCTACCTGCTTCTCTGCAGACCCTTTCTTTGGTTCTGCAGTAAAAGGAAAAGAATGGCAATAGGTATAGCAGCAGGAAGATGGCTTGTAAATACAGCTAATGAGTGCTGAGCTTACCTAGGTCAAGCTAGGAAGGTATATCATAAGGTTTATTACCGGCTAATGAGTATGGAAATGGTATTTCCCTTTAATGCTAACAACACATTGGCTTCAGTTGCTGTCCCTAATGAGCTACCATTTCTGCTTAAGAATTTCAAATAGAATCCATATAAATTTACAACAGGCATAGATGGTAAGGAGAATCATATTTAGCTCCATTAATGGAAAGTGAGAATTAAGTCAAGTGGTTTTGGGAGAAGAGAACTCTGGGAGACACACCTAGAAAGATACAAGTAAGGTTGAATAAAAATTCAAACATAAGAGTTAAGTATATTTAACTTAGAACAACCAGATGGTGAGAGATAAAAGTCAGATTGACAATCACTCTTTCTGGTAGCTGCCTTTCAGAAAGGAAGCGGGTCTCATTGAACAAATTGGTGTCCTAATTTGATATTTGCCCCCAAAGATAACCTCTTCATTTTCCAGAAATCTCAAGGATAATGCTTTGCACAAACTACACAAGAATTCCTTTGAAGGCCTGCTGTCCCTCCAGTATTTGTAAGTCACTTAATATTTAATGAGCACCAATAATGTTTTAGGCATGTAATGTCTATGAAATTTCCATCTAAATCAGACAACAGACAAGACACAGGGAAAAACCTCAGTGACATGGACACGTGTGATGAATGGTTCTTGACATTGTAGTTAGCCTTCAAAGGAAAAAAAATTATAGATTTAGAGTTGGCTACTAAAGATTATCTAGTCCAGTCCTGCTTATTTTATATATAAGCGCACTGAAGCTGTCAAAAGTAAAGTGTCAGCTGAGGTCATCCAGGCATGAGTGGAAAAGCAAGGGTTCACAGTTGGGCCCTCTCGACCATGTGTTTGTGTTGTCTCCCATGTCCACAAGAGAACTGGTTTGTCAGTGTCTGGAAATGATTTTGGGGGGATTTATAAAGTGCGAACTTTAATAAAAAAGGCAGAAATGAAAGTTAAGTCCATAATTTTGCTTGACAAGTTTTTCCAGGAAATAGAGTAAAACTTCATTTGGTCTACAATTCGTGTTTATTAATTATTCAAACCTTGATCAAGCACAATTTGACCTTAATAGTTTCTAGTTTTCCCAGCAGTTTTATTTTTTTCAAATAGTGATCCCCTACCATAGTTGTAGGGGATCATTTGCTTCTATATGTTGTGTACTGTTCTACTACTTATAATAACTATTTTTTAAAAAAATTTATTTAAATCAAATGCCAGTATTATCAAATAAAATATTTTTGATGATCACTGCTTTGTAGTATAGTTTGATATCTGGTACTTTCTTGTATGAAGGCTTGCTTCCTTGTGACCTTTTTTCACTGGGAATACAAAGAAGAACAAAAGAAAATTTATCAGGAGGAACAAAGGTTAACAATCTCAAGGAAAATAATGAAAAATGTCACAAAGTCACGCTAAATTAAAGAGATTTTGCACAAATAAAACCAATGCAATTACAATTGGAAGGAAAACATGAAACTAGGGGGAAAATTTTACAGCATTTTCTCTGAGAAAGGCTTCATTTTCCAAATATATAGGGAAGTGGGCCAAATATATCAAAATAAGAACCATTCCCCAATTGATAAACGATCAAACGATAGGAACAGGCAGTTTTCAGAAGAAGAAATCAAAGTTATTAATAGTCATATGAAAAAATGCTCTAAATCACTAATAATTAGAGAAATGCAAATTAAAACAATTATGAGGTATCACTTCGTACCTATCAGATTAGCTGTTGATCGTCTTCTCTCCAGCTTTTTTTGGGATACCCCTCTTTTTTTTTTAAATTAACTTATTTTGATTTATCAACAATCACTTCCATAAGCTTTTGAGTTTTAAATTTTTCTCCCCCTCCCTCCCCAAGAGGGTGTGCAATCTAATATAGGCTATATATATACATTCCTATTAAACATATTTTCACATTAGTGATGTTGTAAGTAAGAATCAGAACTAATAGGAGGAACCACCAGAAAAAGAAAACAAAACACTGCAGAAGAAAAAAAATAGCAAATAGTGTGCTTCAATCTGCATTCAAACTCCATAGTTCTTTCTTTGGACGTGGTTAGCATTTTCCATCAAGAGGCCTTTGGAGATGTCTTAGATCCTTGTATTGCTGAGAGGGATTAAGTCTATCAAAGTTAGTCATCACTCAATGTGGCAGTTACTGTGTACAACGTTCTCCTGGTTCTGCTCATTTCACTCAGCATCGAACCATACAAGTCTTCAGGTTTATCTGAAGTCTGCCTGTTCATCATTTCTTATAGCACAATTCCATTACATTCATATATCACATTCACAATTATGATTACTATCTATGTCTTTCTCTCTATCCTTCCCCCCCACCCCTGTTTCTTTCTCCTTTCTCGTTTTCCCTCCTCACTAGTGTTTTGCTTTTGACCACACCTCCCTCAGTCCCACCTCCCTTCTATTAGCCCGTCCCTTTTCTTTCCCTTTTTCCCTCCTACTGCCTATAGGCCTTGTTAGATTTCTATACCTAATTGATTATGTTATTCCCTTCTTGAGCCAAATCTGAGGAGAATAAGGTTCAAACAATGCTCATCTCCCTCCCTTCTTTCCCTCTGCTATAATGGGTTTTTGTGCCTTTTCCTGTGATATAATTTACCCTTGTCTGCCTCCTCCTTTCCTTTTTTCTCAGCACATTTTCTTAGTTAGATCAGATTAATCCACTTACTTGGATCCATTTAACCCACTTGATTAGTTTTTTTCATCATTATATCAAAGTCAATTTATACCTACCTCCTTTATATATACCCCTTTAACATAGTGTGATAACAATACAGTTCTAAGAGTTACAAGTGTCATCTTCCCTTGTAGGGATATAAACAGTTTGCCCTTATTAATAACATGTTGTTTCTTTCTGTCCTGTTTACCTTTTTATGTCTCTCTTGAGTCTTGTGTTTGAAGATCAAATTTTCTGTTGAGCTCTGGTCTTTTTATCAGGAAGGGATGGAAGTCCCATATTTTGTTGAATATCCATCTCCCTCCTTGAAAGATCATGCTCATTTTCACTGGGTAATTGATCCTTGGTTGTAATCCAAGCTCCTTTGCCTTAGGGAATATCATATTCTATGCCCTACGGTCTTTTAAGGTAGAAGCAAGGTCCTGTGTAATCCTGACTGTGGTTCCATGATTTTTAAATTGTTTCTTTCTGGCTGTTTGCAATATTTTCTCTTTGACCTGGTAATTTTGGAATTTGGCTACTATATTCCTTGGTGTTTGCAATTTGGAATCTCTTTCAGGAGGTGATCAGTGGATTCTTTTTATGGCTATTTTACTCTCTGGTTCTAGGACCTCAGGGCAGTTTTCCTTTATGATTTCCTAAAAGATATTGTCCAGGCTCTTTTTTTCATCATGATTTTCAGGTAGACCAATAATTTTAAAATTGTCTCTCCTGGATGGATTTTCCAGGTCAGTTGTTTTACAAATGAGATATTTTACATTTTCATCTATTTTTTCATTCTTTTGTTTCTGTTTGACTGATTCTTGCTCTCTCATAGAGTCATTAGCTTCCATTTGCCCAATTCTAATTTTTAACAAGTTGTTTTCTTCTATTAGATTTTGTACCTCCTTCTCCATTTGGCCAATTGTATTTTTTAGGGACTTGTTTTCTTCAGTGGACTTTTTTCCAACTGGCCAATTGTATTTTTTAAGGATTTGTTTTCTACAGTTAATTTTTGTCCTTCCTTTTCCAAGCTATTGACTCTCTCTTGCATACCTCTCATGTCTTTTCCCATTTTTTCTTCTACCTCTCTCATTTGACTTTTAAAATCCTTCTTGAGCTCTTCTAAGAAGGCTTTTTGGGCTTCAGACCAGTTCATATTCCCTTTTGAGGTTCCAGATGTGGATTTGTTGACAATGTTGTCCTCTTCAGAATTTCTGCCTTGATCTTCACTCTTCTCATAATAAAAATCTATCATACATTTCTTTTTGCTCATGGTGTTTGCTTATTTCCTGGCCTTTAAAGAGATTGGGCTCTCCTTCTGGGGAGCAGAGGGCACTGACCCAAGCTTCTTGTGTTGGGAGCCTGGGGCCTGGTCTATGGCTTTGTGTGCTAGGGTCTCCAGTGTTGGCAGTTGGAGGCTGTAGGATTCTGGCAGCTTACCTGGTATTGGAATGGAATCAGCAACACTGGAACTCTAGGGGTAGGATTGGGTAGTGTGGCTCCTGGAGATTTCCTGCTTACCCAGGCCTTTCCTTCCTTTGGCTTTCTTCAGCTCCTTTCAGATGGATATTGTAGGGTGTTTATCCGCCTGGGGCCCCTTGCAGCACTGCTTCCCTTAGTTTTGCTGAGGCACTGGGAGAGCTGGTTGCTGTAGAATGCCCAGGTACCTGGTGGTTTTCTGAGCTGGTTTCTACCAGTTTCCCCACCCTCAATGAGGCACTCCTGGGTCCAGGTGTTGGTGTTTGCCTGCTCCACCACCTGGGCTTCAGGATCTCCTCCTCTTTCCTAGTTTTCCTTCTACCTATGTAATCACTACTTCTCTGTCTCCTTTTGCTGGATCTTCATCTAAAGTATACCCTCTATACACAGGTGTCCCAAGAGATTCTATCTTGGGTCCTCTTCTCTCTCCCTTTACACTACTCCACTTGGTGAGCTCATCAGCTTCCATGGATTTAATTACCATCTCTATGCTGATGATTCTCAAATCTACCTATTCTGCCCTAATCTCTTCACTGACTGGCCTCCTCTGTCCCACATCTCTGGCTGCCTTTCAGACATCTCAAAGTAGATGTTCGGTAGATATCTTAAGCTAAAGATATCCAAGATAGAACTCATTATCTGCCCCTAAACCCTTCACCCCTCCTACCTTTCATGTAATTATAGAGGGCAACACCATCCTCTCCCTCTCTCAGGCTTGCAACCTAGGGTGTTATCCTTGACTCCTTACTATCTCTCACCTTCCATATCCAATCTATTGACAAGGCCTGTCAATTTTGCCTCTGCAACATCTTTTGAATATGTCTTCTTCTTTCCTCTGACACCACCACCACTTTAGTGAAGGCCTTCATCACCTCAGTCCTGGACTGTTGCAATAGCCTGCTGGTGGGTCTCCTTGCCTCAAGTCTCTCTCCATGCCAGTCCATCCTCCATTCACCCACGCAAGCGATTTTCCTAAAGCTCAGGTCTGACCATATCATCTCCCCACTCAATAAATTCCAGTGTCTCCCTGTCACCTCCAAGATCAAATACAAAATGACCTGTTTGGCATTCAAAGCCCTTCATAGAGGGCTAGAGCCCTCTCCTAGGTCTCCAGTCTTCCTACACCTTACTCACCACCATGTATTCTTTGATCCAAGGATACTGACCTCCTTACTGTTACATCAACAAGACACTCTATCTCTCAGCTCTTGGAATTCTCTCTGGCTGTTGTTCCCTATGCCTGGAATCTTCTCACTCCTCTCTACTTTAAGTCTCAACTTCCCATCTTTTATAGGAAGCCTTTCCCAACCACTCTTAAATCTAATTCTCTATTAATTTTTTCCTATTTATCTTGCATATA